TTTTGAGACTGGAGGTGGTACAGGTGTGGGGTTTGGAAACAAGTCCTTAGCCCTATTTTTCATTATTTTGAAATGGGAACTGTAATTTCTAGATCAATAATGCAGGTTGCATGGTCAATGAAAGAGAGCTCACAGAAGATGGACTTGAAAAGAACTTTGCTACCAATACCCTAGGTAAGTGCAAGCAGTTTTCTTGTTTGTTTCCACAAAATGAAGACAGACGTAAGTGAACTGTCGAAGGATTAAAAACGATGGATCAACTTTTTGGGTCCTTGGCATTTATCTTTAAATTGCGTTTATTTTCTTCATAAAACATTCTCTCTTTTCATGTTTCTTATACTACGTGCTAGTGCCAGAAATACTTAGTATTGCTAACACATTCTTTTTCTAGGAAGCTCAAGGCTCAGTGTAGACATTATCTTGGAGAGGAAAGCAAGTTCAGCTCCAGTGGATAGTACAAACATAAAAACTGCAGCCAAGTGAACTTCTGGCCAGAGCTGAGTAAAGTGAAACCATTCGACAAGAAGATGAACCAAAAAGGCCATTTGGCTGGAGAACAGGATATGTGGGCTCCAGTCCCTGCTCTGTAAGAACAGTTTGAAACAGTTGGTCAGGCCAGTGGCTCTCAAAGTGGGGTCCCCAGACTAGCAGCATTAGCATCACCTGGGAACCTAGTAGTCAGGTACATTTTGGGGTCCCTCCCCCAAATCTACTCAATATGAAACTCCAGAGGGAGCTGAGAATTAAATCCCTTCTAACAAGTCTTCTAGGTAAATCTGATACACAATTTCCAGAACCAACGAATGAGACGTTAACCTCTTTGGGCCTTCTCCTTGAACCAAGGGGTCTGGAGTTGATTATCTTGGTGCCATTCAGCTTGGAGATACAATGCGTCTAAGAGCCTCCCTAGTACCTACAACACTTGCTTGTAGTAAGTTAAACTTTTATTGAGCTGTTTCAATTAAGTATTGTCCTAGGTCACAAGACAAATTGCAAGAGTTCATGTAGTTGTTGGGGTCATTGAGGTATCCATTAAATAGCAATCCTCTTCTCACTTAAGAACTGAATAGATTGAAGGCTAAGACAATAGAATAACTGATGAAAACCAAAATGTCACTATTGTTATGATCAGGTGAGTTGAAGGGCATGGCCCCGTGTGAGAGCCAAATGGTTTCCGAATATTGAACATAAGGGTTAGAAAGATCCATCTACCCGATCACCTTGGACTCACCTCCATTTCCTTCCCAGGAAGAGAAGAAAGGAAGGAGCAGAGTGGGCATGCCCTGTTCATTGTCTCCAAATCTATAAAATTTACTTTTAAAAAATGCTCCAAGAGCACAGGTAGATACCAGAAGCTCCGAAGAAGGAGGGGCTTGGAAGAAAATGAGCAACAGACAGGAGAATGCAGGTGAACAAGTGAAATAGGTTATGGAGCTGTATATTACAGCTAAGTAAACATGTTGCTGACAATTCAATATGTACTTTCGTAATTTTTTTTTTCAGGAGAGATTTTTGCTATAAGGTGCTTGCACTTGCCAAAGAGATATAGAGAGACAAAAAGTGAGAAATCACCCCTGGGGAGATGGCCTCGCAGCAATCCCTTCTCCTCCATTCTCCTCTCGTGATCTTGGGCACGCACGCACATGCGCCCTGCATGAGTTTTAAGCCACCAGGTCTGGGATTCGAACCATGGTCGACTGCGTGGGAGTCCAGCAATGTAACCATTATACTGGTCCCTCATAAAAATATTTTTAAACTAGGAGAACTGTTATGGAATGTGTACAACATTGTGTAATGCTAAATGTTGAAGATAATATGTCTATATCCTTGATTTGATTATTACACACTATATGCATGTTTTGGAAAACCATACTGTATCCTGCAAAAGTGTACAAGGGTTATTGTAGGTCAGAGATCATAATTTCAAAATAATAATAATAAGGGCTCTCTTCTCTTCTCCCATGGACTGATGAGGGGCTAGGAAGGACAGAATCACCCTAATTGCATTCCTGAAGAAGTAAAAGTTAGGAATGGGGAAGAAATTTTCTCCCTAGTGGTGGGGTTGCATTTTAAAAACAAGTACCTGGACAGGCCAGCAGGTGGCATGGTGGTTAAGGGTGCTGGACTCCCATGTGGCCAACTGTGGTTCGAGTCCTGGACCTGGCGGCTTGCTTTCTCTCTTTCTCTCTCTTAGTCTGTCCCTCTCCAGTCAAATTAAAATAAATAAAGTTAAAAATATTTTTTTAATAAATAAATAAAAATTAAAATAAAAAATGCCTGGAAGCCTGCTATGAAATGACACAGATTTAATATAAAATATTTCCATCTTTGACTTTTTTCCACATGAGATATTTACTGAAATTACCAAAAATACGAAAATGTAGGGTCATGCTGGAGTGTGGCAGACTCCTAGGACCACAGCTGGCCTCCCAGGTGGCTGCTCAGCAAGTCTGACTGTAAACTTTGCAAAGCCCCGCGCCAGAGGATAATATGGTGCTCCATGTTCAAAATTACTAAGGATTTCAATACAGTGACAACAGAATATTAAGCCACGCACAAAGCCCTTTGAAGCTCAGGGCTTTCTGCAACTGCTCAGGGTGAACCTGACTTTGTGGCTTATCTATCATCCCACAAAACTCTGCTGAGTGTTTCAGACCTGCTGGGCACTAGTGAGTGTTATACACATATGTATGTCATTTAACCCTCAAGACTGCCCTGTGGTGAGGGTATTCCTGTGTATTTCAGATGAAGAGACCGAGAGAGGTTATGTAGCTCGCCCAAAGTCAAGGTAGAGGCACCAGAATTTGAACCTCAGTCCAACTACCTCTACAGCTCACGTTCATAACAGCACACAGTTCCACCAACTCCAGTGTCTCCTCCCTCACACCCGTCAGTCACTGTGTTATTGCAAAGGAAGGGTTGAGGAGCTCTGGGACCGCTGTGACTAGCTACGCCAGAAGTGGCTGAGCCAGAGTGGGGATAGTGCTTGGTGGAGCCAGAGGTTTTTGGTGAAGATTAAAAGGAGGGTAATCTGGAGGCCTTTGCAATACTTGAAATGTGGACTGGCCTCACAGATGCTCAAGGGCCTGCTTTCTGGATTATACAGCCACCTATGTTGCACCTTGGTGAGGCTCTGGCCTGCTCCTTGCTATCACTTCATTTTCATTTCCTATTTGTGTTAGAAACATTTTATTGATCTTTCCCACCTCTCCAAGAAGCATGATAATTCTCGTGCTTTGTTATTTATCATTAGCTCTGAAGTGAAAGACATAGCACAGTATACCAAGAGGAATGCCAGCCATGGAGGGGGCAGCTCACGGTGTCATTGTTTGAGGGATGTGGGGCTGTAGAGAGGTTAAAATATTGTCGTTCTTAAGCAGGTTCAGGGCCAAATGAAAAACCCAGACCTCTGTCTGAGTCCTGGGAAATTGTTGGCTGCCTTTCTAATATAAAACATGTTTTCCCAGCCCAATTATGTAATGTGGAATAGGTTGTTTTCTATTTTCGGAGATTCCGTTGGGCCTCCAGAAACATTTGCTAGCCCCATCTAGACATCAGTAGGTTCCCGATATTCTGAGGACAGTGCAAACACTGGTATTTGCAGAATTTATCACCAGGTTCTAAGGGCTCAGAAGCTGATGGATTCTGTGTGAGATCCTTTCAGAGCCCATGCCTGCACAAGACTCTTTGTTGAGACATCATATTATATGAATTAGATAAGGGCTGGACGTAATTCTCCTTGACCTTTTGCAGGGGTGGGTGCGGTACAAAAAGGCTTTCATAGTCTATCCTGCTGTGGGACAAAAATGAACTGTCTTGGTAGGTTTGTGGGTAGATGAGCCATGGAGGTGAAGAGCTCACAGGAGACAGTTTCTGCTTGGTTTCTGCTCTCACCCCTGTGTATGGGGTCTTCTCTAGTTAGGTACATTTTGCCTGTTAGCATTCAACGGCACTGAGAGTCCATGAGGAGTGAAGACAGATGGGCAGGAGGCGAGCTGTGCTAAGTGCTCTGCTGGCAGCCTGCCACAGCCTAGCGTTAGCAGATTAAAACTCTCACCCACGTCTTAGCCTCTCACGGCACAGGACACAAGACGAGGACACTGATTCTACCTCCACCAGGACAGCTGTGTCACTGGTTAATTGACTGTAATAAACAGGCAGTGGTGCCTCAGTTCTTTAGCAGAAGGTGGGGAAGTTCACCTGAGGTCGTTTCAGGAGGACATACAGCAGTCTACAATAAATGTCATTATTGGCGTTCTGGAACTCTCTTCACTAGCATGTCCCCGCCCACAGTGATAACTGCTGTTCAACACTCAGACCCAAGGTCCAAAAAACAACTGAATAATAATGGCACAGATGGAGAACTTTCCATGTACCAGGGCGGTGCTATAGCTATATATTTATATGTGTGTGTGTGTGCGTGTGTGTATGTATTCTATTTTTTCATTCAATCTCCATAGTAATTGTATAGGTTTTTACAGATGAGGAAACTGAGATGGTCTGAAACCAGAGTTTGTAACTCATCTTCCTAAACAAAGGACATTATAGTTGGGGGAATTTTAGTGTTAGGTTGTATCCGTCAGCTATTGCTACATAACAAACAACTCCAAAATCTCAGGACATACCATAATAAGCATGTATCTTTTGCTGATTCTTCTACAGGTTGGTGGGTTGGGCTTATCTCAGCGGCCTCAGCTGAGTGTCTCTAAGCTGCAAGTTGGGTTTGGATTATGTTCCAAATGTCTTGCATCCTCCTAGGACCACTAGATTGGCCAGAGTGTGTTCTCCTGACAACTATAAAAGCCCAAGTGTGCAGACAGTTCCAATCCTCCTGCTTATATTACATCTGCCAACATCCAGTTGATCAACATGAGTCCCAAATCAAGCATCAGAGAAGTGTCCTTCTGTGGAGGTGGTGAAGAGAGAGTGAATATTGTCAAACAATGAAATTATTGGTAGATTTTACAAGGGTGTGTTTTTCTTACATTTTATGTGGAAATAGAATTCTGTGTGATAACTATTTATTAATGAAAAGTATTTCATGAACCAAAGCACCTCATTTGTTCTGTAAGTATTTATAAAGGGCCTACTATATACCATATGCTGTAGCCAATGATGAGTGTTCAGAAGTTAAAGGAGTTCCTGGTCTGGAGAAGAATTAGACACACAAACAA